AGCCTCGGCGTCCCATGGCTGCTCAGAAGACAAGCTCTGGGATTATGACCCTTGCAGCTTCCTTATAAACCAGAAACAAGATCCAAAGCAAAACCAAGACACACTCGGTCACAGCATCTTCCTCTTTAGTCCCCTTATCTCTGGTCTCTGGAAACAGAGTCTATGGGCCAAGTTCACCTCACTGAAGTCAGTAACTGATCCCACTAAGGGGATGGGCCCTTTATTATTTATTATCTTCCCTAACCCCTGCAGTGTGCTGGGTGTCCTCACAGGGCAACAGGGAATCAGACAGACCTTATGCTGCAGTTTACACTCTCATGGGAAATCGCACACCTTACAAGACTGTACATAAGGAGAAACAGCCTTGCCCATTCTCTCCCAGTGGAATGACTTTCCCAAACGGTCTTTGGTCCTGTTCACCCCAACATGGTCACTAGGGTGATCGTGGGCTAAGCTCAAGAGTTTTTCCCTATACTTAGTTGGAACTACCAACTGTCTCTGAGGATGCCAGTCCTCCTTGTGCCCACCAGAAAGGGTTTCCTTGTATAAGAGTCCTCCTTCTACAACAAACCTGGACCTATTAGAAGAGCTGAGAGGCGGTGGGTCACTCTGTGCCACTGTCTAAGCTCCCTTGAGGCTTTCATCCTCTTCCTGCTCTGCCTGGAACTGCTCCCTTGATGCTTGAGACATTAGTTCCTCGCTGGTATCAGAGGGGTAGCCGTGTTAGTCTGAATCTGTAAAAAGCAACAGAGGGTCCTGTGGCACCTTTAAGACTAACAGAAGTATTGGGAGCATAAGCTTTCGTGGGTAAGAACCTCACTTCTTCAGATGCAAGTAATGGAAATCTCATTAGTTCCTCGCTGGGTTGTGGATTTGGGCTTGGTCCCACTGGAAACGATGCATGTGATGAGGGTGTCTCCATCTATTGTGAACCACATTATCCACATTAAATTTCATTTGCCATTTTGTTGCCCAATCACTCAGTTTTGTGAGATCTTTTTGAAGTTCTTCACTGTCTGCTTTGATCTTAACTATCTTGAGCAGTTTAGTATCATCTGCAAACTTTGCCACCTCACTTTTTACCCCTTTCTCAGGATCATTTATGAATAAGTTGAATAGGATTGGTCCTAGGACTGACCCTTGGGGAACACCACTAGTTACCCCTCTCCATTCTGAGAATTTACCATTTATTCCTACCCTTTGTTCCCCGTCTTTTAACCAGTTCTCAATCCATGAAAGGGCCTTCTTCAGGTATGTTAGCAACAAGAAGAAAGTCAAGGAAAGTGTGGGCCCCTTACTGAATGAGGGAGGCAAGCTAGTAACAGGGGATGTGGAAAAAGCTAATGTACTCAATGCTTTTTTTGCCTCTGTCTTCACGAACAAGGTCAGCTCCCAGACTGCTACACTGGGCAGCACAACATGGGGAGGAGGTGACCAGCCCTCTGTGGAGAAAGAAGTGGTTCAGGATATTTAAAAAAGCTGGACGAGCACAAGTCCATGGGGCCGGATGCACTGCATCTGAGGGTGCTAAAGGAGTTGGCGGATGTGATTGCAGAACCATTGGCCATCATCTTTGAAAACTCATGGTGATTGGGGGAGGTCCCGGATGACTGGAAAAAGGCTAATGTAGTGCCCATCTTTAAAAAAGGGAGGAAGGAGGATCCGGGGAACTACAGGCCAGTCAGCCTCACATCAGTCCCTGGAAAAATCATGGAATCAATTCTGAAACACTTAGAGGAAAGTGATCAGGAACAGTCAGCATGGATTCACCAAGAGCAAGTCATGCCTGACTAACCTAATTGCCTTCTATGACGAGATAACTGGCTTTGTGGATGAGGGGAAAGCAGTGGACGTGTTATTACTTGGCTTTAGCAAAGCTTTTGATACGGTCTCCCACAGTATTCTTGCCAGAAAGTTAAAGGAGTATGGGCTGGATAAATGGACTATAAGGTGGACAGAAAGCTGGCTAGATTGTCGGGCTCGATGGGTAGTGATCAATGGCTCCATGTCTAGTTGGCAGCTGGTATGAAGCGGAGTGCCCCAAGGGTCGGTCCTGGGGCCGGTTTTGTTCAATATCTTCATTAATGATCTGGAGGATGGCGTGGACTGCACCCTCAGCAAGTTTGCAGATGACCCTAAACTGGGAGGAGTGGTAGATGCGCTGGAGGGTAGGGATAGGATACAGAGGGACCTAGACAAATTAGAGGATTGGGCCAAAAGAAATCTGATGAGGTTCAACAAGGACAAGTGCAGAGTCCTGCACTTAGGACGGAAGAATCCCATGCACCGCTACAGACTAGGGACCGAATGGCTAGGCAGCAGTTCTGCGGAAAAGGATTACAGTGGATGAGAAGCTGGATATGAGTCGACAGTGTGCCCTTGTTGCCAAGAAGGCTGTCAAGGTTTCTTCCTCACTCTGAACTTTAGGGTATAGATGTAGGGACCTGCATGAAAACCTCTAAGCTTCTCTACCAGCTTAGATCTGCTTTTGCTGTCACCACTCCCAATGTGCTAACTCCCTTCCCTGGGTAGCCTTGAGAGACTTTTCCACCAATTCCCTGGTGAACACTGATCCAAAACCCCTTAGATCTTAAAACAAGGAAGAATTAATCATTCCCCCCATTCCCTTCCCCCCACCAATTCCTGGTGAGTCCAGATTAATCCCCTTGGATTTTAGAACAAGGAAAAATCAATCAGGTTCTTAAAAAGAAGGCTTTTAATTAAAGAAAGAAAGGTAAAAATCATCTCTGTAAAATCAGGATGGAAAATAACTTTACAGGGTAATCAAACTTAAAGAGCCCAGAGGAACCCCCTCTAGCCTTAGGTTCAAAGTTACAGCAAACAGAGGTAAACACTCTAGCAAAAGGTACATTTACAAGTTGAGAAAACAAAGATAAAACTAACACGCCTTGCCTGGCTGTACTTACAAGTTTGAAATATGAGAGACTTGTTCAGAAAGATTTGGAGAGCATGGATTGATGTCTGGTCCCTCTCAGTCCCAAGAGCGAACAACCCCCAAAACAAAGAGCACAAACAAAAGCCTTCCCCCCACCAAGATTTGAAAGTATCTTGTCCCCTTATTGGTCCTTTGGGTCAGATGTCAGCCAGGTTACCTGAGCTTCTTAACCCTTTACAGGTAAAAGGATTTTGGTGTCTCTGGCCAGGAGGGATTATAGTATTGTACACAGGAGGGCTGTTACCCTTCCCTTTATAGTTATGACAAAGGCAAATGGCATTTTGGGCTGTGTAAGTAGGGGCATTGCCAGCAGATTGAGGGACGTGATCATTCCCCTCTATTCAACATTGGTGAGGCCTCATCTGGAGTACAGTGTCCAGTTTTGGGCCACACATTACAAGAAGGATGTAGAAAAATTGGAAAGAGTCCAGCGGAGGGCAACGAAAATGATTAGGGGGCTGGAGCACCGGACTTATGAGGAGAGGCTGAGGGAACTGGGATTGTTTAGTCTGCAGAAGAGAAGAATGAGGGGGGATTTGATAGCTGCTTTCAACTACCTGAATGGGGGTTCCAAAGAGGGTGGTACCAGATGACAGAACAAGGAGTAATGGTCTCAAGTTGCAGAGGGGGAGGTTTAGGTTGGATATTAGGAAAACCTTTTCATTAGGAGGGTGGTGAAGCACTGGAATGGGTTACCTAGGGAGGTGGTGGAATCTCCTTCCTTAGAGGTTTTTAAGGTCAGGCTTGACAAAGCCCTGGCTGGAATGATTTAATGGGGATTGGTCCTGCTTTGAGCAGGGGGTTGGACTACATGACCTCCTGAGGTCCCTTCCAACCCTGATATTCTATGATTCTAAGAGGGATTTTATAGCACTTGGCTGGCTGGGTGTCCATAAAAGGGAGCTACCCCCCCCTTTTCATTTGTCACAAGGGGTAATAATCCTTTTGTTCTCCCACCTTGTGTCCATCTCGTCTACTTAGCTTGTAAGCTCTTTGGGACAGGGATTGTCTCTTACTACATGTATGTACAGCACCAAACATAGTGGTACTGTACGTGTCAAGATAATATAAATAAGTACTGGCAAACAGAAGTGGGCTGACACAGTCACTGCTCTCAGTTTGGAGAAGTTTCTTATGGAAAGATGACATCAACGAATTTCATAGAGTTGTGGGGACAGCACGGTTTGAAAATAAAAAAAGTGGAAGAACATTTAGTGGTGCAGAGACAGCGCTGGAGCTGAAAATCAATTACAGGCCAGGTCCTCAGCTGGGGTAAACTAGTGCGTTTTCAGGATCCTTCTGGGCCTTGGGAAGCAGACAATAGCCATGAAGCAGTGTGCTTCAGCCATGCCCTCTGCAGCACCTCCACCCCACCAGTCACAACCCCCATGCCAGGGGCTGGGAGCAGGGCTAATGTAGAGATTTTATGCCAGCTCTACAGCAGCCAGGAAGGACTCCTGCACAGGAGGGCTAATCACAGGGCCATTTCTGCCCACTTTAAAGCCCCTTTACACTGCCAGATTGGCATAAAGAGGCTTTAGAATTGGGCCCTAGGTTTCCCGGATAGGCCGACCGTGATCGCAAACCCTCACACCAAAGTCTTATGGAGGTTATTTTATTCTTTATACATTACAGTGAAACAGCAGAGCTAGCTCACACACATAGCACGCGAGGGCTCTGCAAATCGCCTCGCCCTGCCCACCATGGTGTGTTTTCCCTAATCATAGAATATGAGGGTTGGAAGGGACCTCAGGAGGTCATCTAGTCCAACCCCCTGCTCAAAGCAGGACCAATCCCCAGACAAATTTTTACCCCAGTTCCCTAAATGGCCCCCTCAAGGATTAAACTCACAACCCTGGGTTTAGCAGGCCAATGCTCAAACCACTGAGCTATCCCCCCCCTGAAATAACTACTTTGTGACCTGGGATCTGACCCTTTAAATCTGGGAGAGACACCCAGCTACAACCCTAGGGTGGCCTTTGAATTCAGGAGTTGTGGATTTGGATCAGAGAGAGGATTTGGTCCAATCCGGCTTCCCCTTTCAGGTTTTGTATGTAGTTGCGATGAAGAATGGCAGCTGAAGCACCTGCCCCACTGGCACAGCAAAGCCGGCTGTATGATAAACATCGGTGGTTGGAGAGGTGATTGTTTCACAGAGATGAAGTGGAGGGGTCTCTGCAATTCACTGCCAGCAAAACAAATATACATTAAGTGCCAATCCCATGGGAAAACTCCAGTCAACTTCAATGGGATCAGGACTGGATCCTCATTCAGAAATAGTGCAGAGTCTGCAAAATTCAGCCAGCCTCCACTGAGGTGACATCACGTGCAGGAAAATAACATAAGTGTAGACAAAGCCCGCTCCCTTCCCCCACCCACGCACAGGTAAGCCATAAAGTAGCAGTCAATAGAGGCTGCTCTAAATACACCAGAAATGTCCACTTCCAGACAAAGGTTGTGGCCTCTCGTGCTGGGACTGGAGCAGGGAGGTTTTTCCAGATATAAGGCTCCACTTTTCCCTCCAGAGAAAGCTTCTGGATCCTTTCCCAGTACAGGTAACGGAGCCAGAGGAAATTCCATCCAGTGCTAACGCTTTGTTGGGGATGGCCCATCTGCACTGACAAGATTTCCACCTAGGTTTTGGTTTGCAAGCCTCCCCAATTGGATAATTACCTAAATTTGTGTCAAAGCCAACACCTTCCCTGCCTGTTCCACAGTGAGTGATGCATGGAGCCTGCAAAGAAGCAAAGGGAAGGGAACGTGGAGGAATGCAAGAAAGGAGGAGTTCTGTGCTGGGTTCTAGGAGACCTGGGATTCCCCCGTGATTTGGATGCAACTGAATCTCACTAAGACTCCCAATGCTGTTCTCAGATAGATTAAAACAAGCATGTGTCACTCAGGGGACAAGGTACCTCAGGAGCTACAACAGACCCAGATGGATGCGACTTTTGGATGCTGGTATTGGAACAGAATAGAGGATCTCTTACCATCTTGGTGCTGGTAGTGACAGTGGACATGGACGGACTAAAAGTTTGAGTTGTGGGGCTGGGTTTTCTTGTGCCTTTAATCCATCTCCTGTACTCCTCTCTCACCTGGAGAATAAGGGACATGGTCACTACATCATGTAACTAACACCCTCAAACCAGGCCACTGCTAGGCCCGTGAAGTCACTGGGTGGCTGATGACGCGCCATGGGCATTACCTGGCGATTGAGGAGACAGTGCACCAGGAAGATGAAGACTCCCTGCAGGCTGTTGACAATGGTGAATAAATACGCCATGGCCATTTTTGCTGAGCCAACTTGGAAGAGACCAAGGCTCCATGTGCAGCCCAGAATGAATAGCTGGGCGATAGCTTTAAAAGTCAGTAGTCTGGATAAAGGCAGACGGAGAGATCCTGTTATAATGACCCTATGGTGAGTGACTGAGTCAGGGGGCTCTGGGCGGTGTGGGGGAAAACAGCTGGCACCCGCTTTACTGTATCTTACGGTTACTGTCAAGACGAACACAATGGCAACTTACGCCTATGAATCTGAATTACAATATTGTGCCCAACCATCTTCCCCCAACACACACCTTCCCCTCCCACAGGTGGCTCTTCCAAAGCAAATGGTTCAACCTCTCATTACAGTTTTGTTTTTAATCCCGTCACATGTTTTGTTTTTAATCCCTTCACATCAGGTCCTGGCAACGTGACAATCAAGTGGGAACAGGATAATGGGCTCTCGGTACCCCATCTATGTTGTTCCATAAATAGACAGGGGGTTGCTACAGAGCAACAGTAAGCCACACTTGCCTTCCTCCTCAATGGATGGCACTTTACCTCGACAGTATCCACAGCCCCAGGGAAAAGAGATGAGTTTCCTCCCTAAGTAGCACATGGCCCAGCTCTGAATATCAGCACAGACTTGCATTTCTCCTTACACAGCTCTAGGCACGTGCAGTAAGTAACACCATGGCTTTCTGAAGCCTCAACATTCTGATCTGGTTCCAAAATCTTTTTCCCCTCTCATGTCTCCATCCAGCACTCCAGGCTGGCGGCCCTGATCTTGTTCCTCCCAAACAAACAGATTTCATAAAGAGCTGCTTTAAAGACCATTTGCATGCCACGCTCTGAATGTGCCGCAGGACTTACTGCAAGAGCCTCACTGATCTAGCAGTCTCTTCCGTACCATTACTTCCACTGACTTCAGCGGCTTTCGACGAGACTGCAACTGTCATCTCAATATCCATACAGGGACCAACATGATGCACATGGCAGAAAAGTATCTCCCATAATTATCCTTTACTGCTGTGGACCTCTCCTCTCTCCTAACTTGACCCTTCAATTGCCACCCTGGCTGTGCAGTGTCTAATTTAAGGTCTGATACAGCATTCCCTTATTCATGCAAATTGTCCTTATTTTGGCAGATGGTCCCATGGACAACTTTAGGACTCACGAGTAAGGGACTGCTGATGTGAGTTAGGGTTTATCAGCTCCTTGGGCAGTGAGACTGTTACTCTCTCATCAAGCAGAAGGTCGCCAAGATAACCTGGAAACCCTACAGCGGCATGTGCTCAGCTGTATGGTGGCAGCAATCTGTGGGGAATCCCACAGGAATTCCCATACAGGAGGCTCACTGGACCCTTCTCATACAGGGGTGGGCAAACTACAGCCCATGGGCCAGATCCAGCCCATCAGGTCTTTGGATCCGGCCCGTGGGATTGCCACCCCCGTGGCGCCGCGGGTCCTGCACCGCTCCCAGAAGCAGCCGGCACCACGTCCCTGAAGCCCCTGGGGGAAGGGGAGAGCAGAGGTCTCCGCACGCTGCCTTCACCTGCAGGCCCCCCCCCCCCCCCCCCCACACACACACAGCTCACATTGGCCGGAACAAGGAACCACGTCCAATGGGAGCTTCTGGGAAAGTACCCGCAGGCGAGGGCAGCACGCGGTGCCCTCTGTGCCCGCCCCCCCCCCCGCCCGGGGTCGCAGGGACGTGGTGCCGGCCGCTTCCGGGAGCGGTGCAGGGCCAGGGCAGGCAGGCAGGGAGCCTGCCTGAGCCCTGCTGCGTTCCGCTGCCACCCCGGAGCCACTCCAGGTAAGCGGCACTGGGCCAGAGCCTGCACCCCGAACCCCTCCTGCACCCCATACCTCAACCTCCTTCCCTGAGCCCCCTCCCGCACTATGCACCCTTCCCTGCACCCCTGCCCTGAGCCCGCTCCCACACTCTGCCCTCCCTCCTCCACCCCAACTCCTTGCCCTGAGCCCCTTCCTGCACACCTCACCCCCTCCCACACCCCACACTCCCTCCTGCACCCCAACCCCCTGCCCCAGCCCTACACTCATTGCCCTGCATGCAATTTCCCCACCCTGATGTGGCCCTCGAGCCAAAAAGTTTGCCCACCCCTGTTCTAGTAGATTTAGCACTGTCCTACCTGGTGTCTTTGAGAGTGGACACATCTTCATTAAGGGAGGAGAGTTTGTCTCTCAGGATCCAGAGGGTTACAAGAAAAAATGTTAAATTTATCTGTGGAAACAGCATGAAATATTCCTTGTAAAACATGCCAGCCAAGGCCAGTCTCTCTGGCTGAGGCATGGAACAGTCCTATGGGATCAGACTGCTGCCGACCAGTGACTGCTCGTCAAGGTGGGCCATACACCATTCCCTGCCAGATCTTGGTCCCAGGCCGTGCAGGGAACTGTTGGCATAGGCAGGGCTGCAATGCATCACATGTGATCATACAGCCAGAGGGCCATATTCTGCTCTTATCTGAATCTGGAGTGACTCCACTGATTCCAATGGGGTCTGCAGTTATTCCAGATTGGTCCCGCATGCACCCTTCCATCCTCAAACTCCCCACGCTGCAGCCACCTTCCCTTCCCCCATCACCTGGGTTATTTATCAGCCAGGCCGGACAAGGCAAGGGACAAAACTATCCTCATTCCGGCAGAGGTTTCACTTGCTTCCATGGCACCATTGCATGAGTAATGACATATTTTAATTAATCATATTATGGTAGCACCTAGAGGCTCCAATGAGACTGCACTGGGTTCTGTACTCACACGTAAAAAGGGGCAGCTCCTGTCCAGGAGCATTTGTTAGCAAAATAACAGGGCAAGACCACAGGTTCCAGCTTCCCCCAGGCCGCTCAACCCCCCCACTCCGCCCCAGGGCCCACACCCACCTGACCCTTTCCCCCAAGGCCCCACCCCACGTCTTCCCACCCCCGCTTGGCACCAAGCCCTGTTCCCCCTTGCCCAAGCCCCTGCCTCTTCCCACCCCTACCCCACCTCTTTCCACGCAGTTCTGCCCCCTTCCTCCCAGTGCCTCCTGCACACCACAGAACAGCTGACTGCGGCAAGTGGGAGGCACTGGGATTGAGGGGGAGAAGTTGATCGGCATGGCTGCCAGTGGACGGGAGGTACGGGGGAGGATGAGTGAGGGAGCTGGCTGCCAGTGGGTGCTGAGCATCCACTATTTTTTTCGGTGCCTATGGGCAAGACAGACAAAGGGTGGGAGGAGAAACAGAGGTACAGCAAGGGGAAGCTACTTCCCAAGTTAACACAGCCGGCCAGTGGCAGAGTCAGGTCTCCTGACTCACAACCCAGTGCCCAACCCTGACTCCATTCGCCCTGACTGACTCCATAGAATGTAGGCTGTTGTGTTAGGGGGAAATCCTGCACTGGCCAAAGAGGGGTGGATGAAATGGGATCTTATAGGACTCTTTCATCTTAAATTCTCTGGGAGATATTCTTCTCTTGGCTCCACTGGAGTCCACAGGGTTGCAGAGGTGAGAGGAGAATGGGGCCCTGTGGTTCTGTGAGGTACCCACCAGGATTATGGCACAGACTGGACCCAGGAAGCTCCAATGAAAGCCTCTCTCCAGGCTTAGCCAGCAGCTACAGGGAGGGAGGAAGAAGGTGACTTTAATGGGATTACTACCCTTTTTCAGCCCCGGGGGCAGAGAGGTTGTGTTACAGGGCAGCTGGCTCTCAAAAGCGAGATGGATCTCAGCCTGCCTGTGACATGGTCTCTTGCGGACAGCAAGCAAACAGCCCGCCCCGTCTACCTCAGCACCTCCTGCTTTCAGACACCACTTCCTCTTCCACCTCCTCAAATGACCCTTTCTGGTGGATGGGCGCAGTATTGATGGAGGGCCAGACATGCAGCGGATGGACATTGGCCTAGCTGCACTGAAGGAAGTGGAGCTGCCCTGATTTACACCAGCTGAGGATTTAGCCTAGGGTGTCTAAAACACACCACACTCTGTTTTAATGGAGTCACTCACTTTAGAGAGGGGATCCTCAGGGATTTGCACACGGGAAGAAGGTGCATTTGTTTCCTACCCACCAGCCCCACAAACCCAGCCTGGGAGCTGGGAGTCAAGCTGGGATCTTTCTGGCTTGTTCTTCCGCATCATCAGTGGGGTGAGGAGTGTAGATGTCTGACAGGTGGGCAACTCAGCTACAGCGCTTGGAGCAGCTTAGTGTCCCTGGGGATGGAAAGGGTCCCAGGGGGACATTCAGCTCCCAGGCAGGGTGAGCAGGGAAATCTAGGTTCAAGTCAGACCTGGGGTGAGCCGGACAACTGCATGGAAGCCACATCGCAGCTCCTCTTCAGGATGGGCGCTGCACTTACTATTTGGAAGTTCCGTAGCCTTCATGATTCACCGCTGCAGAAATAGCCACCACCAGGGCTGGGAATCCGTAGCCAAACGGGTACATGAATCTCTTCTTGAACCGGCTGGCGCTGGTGTAATTCACGACCTTCAGGTTCCTGACGGTGAGGAAGAGGTGCAGCCCCTCCAGGAACATCCAGATGAAGCAGGCCAGGAAGAGGTAGTGTAGGAAACCAGCAATGACGGCACACACCACCTGAGGACAGGACAAGAGAGAGCTCTGGGACACTGCTTCTGGGAAGGGAAATACTGAATTTAGAGTGGGGGAACTTTTGTGAGGATCACATAGGGCTTTTTATTAACACATCTCTCTAGTTATGGCACTCTCCCAGAGACAATACATTCTTCAGTCTACGGAGGCTTGTCTAAGGGCAAGCTGGCTGGCCCTTTCAATCATTCAGAGTCCAGCCCGGTCCTGATCTCCACTCAGAAAAGAGTTGGATACTGTGAGGAATCCTAGGAAAGGGAGCAGAGACATAAACAAGTTCCCAGTCCTCATAATAGGGAGAGACGTGGAGGGTGTAGGTTCTCTTCTCTATATCTGCTTCAGGGTATAGGTGTCTTGCATCTGCCCATCAGTCTGGGGGCAGAGAGGACAGGCAGGGTACTGTGACTCTGGAAATCGGGGTTCCTTTGTTTGAATGATGAAGGAAGGAGCCCACAAGGAAAAGGGAAGGACTGGTTTCACCCATAGAGATTTCTTTTGGAGGGAAGTAAATAATTATTTCTGTAGGACTAAAGAGCATGGAATAAACATTACCGTCCAGCTGAGGGTATAAAAAGGTGCTGGGGTGACGGGAGCTTTAGAAATGCTGACAGAAGATCTGGACACAGCTCAATTTTAAACCAAGAATAAAAGTTGATAACAGACCCGACTGCTGGTGCGGGTCACCGCGATGAGGAAGAGCAGGTCGGCCAGGAAGAGGCAGAGGCAGAGCTGCAGGTGGATGGAGGTGCTGATGTTGCAGATGGAGCGGCACAGGAGGAAGGTGAGGATGGCGAGGAGGAGGCACAGCAGGGAGAGGGTCAGTCCCACATAGGTGATGATGGTCAGTGGGTAACTCTCCTGTAACACAGCAAAGGGAGAATCACCAGTAAGCCCTGGGACACTATATAGTAAATAAAGAGAAGTAAGGACACCCTGGGGAATTACAGACCAGTCATCTTAACTTCTGCACTGGGAAAGATAATGGAGCAGATAATTAAGAAATCAATTTACAAACACCTAGAAGATAATAAGGTGATAAATAACAGTCAGCATGGATTTGTCAAGAACAAATCATGCCAAGCCAGCCTAATAGCTTTCTTTGACAGGGTAACAAGACTTGTGGATGGGGGGGAAGTGGTAGATGTGGTATATCTTGACTTTAGTAAGGGCTAGTCTACACTGCCCAGCGCTCTACACTGCCCAGCACTCTATGAGAGGCGTAGCTACCTGGTGCACTGTTTACACTGGCATTTTACAGCACTGAAACTTGCTGTACTCAGGGGTGTGTTTTTTCATACCCCTGAGCAAGAAAGTTTCAGTGCCGGAAATTGCCAGCGTGGACAAACCCTAAGGCTTTTGATACTGCCTTGCATGACCTTCTCATAAACAAACTAGGGAAATACAACCTAGATTGAGCTACTATAAGGTGGGTGCATAACTGGTTGGAAAATCATTCCCAGAGATTAGTTATCAGTGGTTCACAGTCAAGCTGTGGGGGGTGGAGGAGGGAGGGATGAGGAAGCAAGGATACTGAGCTACCTGGCCCGCTTCATGGTGGCGGAGAGTCGCAGTTCTGCACAGAGACCCCCGTACCCTCTCCCTCACGCAGAATGCGTGTGTGACGTTGCACTCCATAATGATTTATGAAAATATGCTTGAGTATAAATATGATGTTACTGAAATATGCTTTATTCAAAAGGTCTCTCGTAAGGTATCATTACAAAGCTTATGATCTACTGACTGTGTTCATCCCATTTGTTTGCATGTATTATTTCTATGTTTGGAGTTAGGAGAATAAGATACAAACTTGTATTACTGATGTAAACATGTTAAGTGGAAGCCATTAAGGGTGCTTCAGAATCTATCACCTGTAAATGGCTCTGTTTACTTGTAAACCTTCCGGGTATGTGTGGGCCAGCCCTGGAAGAATTGAGACTAGGGGTCTCACAGGACATGTGACCATGTCACATGATACTGGAATCCATCTTAATCTGGTACTTTCCCATTTAGAAGGAGGGTTGGGGACCCAGAGAGACAAAGGATTCCCGCCTTGTGCCAAAGCTATAAAAGGGTGTGGAGCAAAACAAGGGGGAGGGGGGCCTCAGTCATGAGAAAGCCCCTGCTTTTCACCTAAGATGCCTGCTGGAACTAAAAGGACTGTACCAGGGAAAGAATTGGCCTCAGATGAGGAAGGAGCCTAGTCTGTGAAAGAAGCTTATTGGAACATCTCTGAGGGGGAGATTTTACCTGTAAACAGTTTCTTAATGTATTAGGCTTAGACTTACACATTTTGTTTTATTTTGCTTGGTAACTTACTTTGTTCTGTCTGTTATGACTTGGAACCACTTAAATCCTACTTTTTATACTTAATAATATCACTTTTGTTTATTGCTAAACCCAGAGTAAGTGATTCATACCTGGGGGAGCGAACAGCTGTGCATATCTCTCTATCAGTGTTATGGAGGGCGGACAATTTATGAGTTTACCCAGTATAAGCTTTATACAGAGTAAAACGGATTTATTTGGGGTTTGGATCCCATTGGGACTGGGTGTCTGGGTGCTGGAGATAGGTGACCTGCTGAGTGGTTTTCAGTTAAAGCCTGAAGCTTTGGGGGCGTGGTTCAGACCCTGAGTCCGTGTTGCCGCAGGTTAGCATGTCTGGCTCAACAAGGCAGGGTTCTGAAGTCCCAAGCTGGCAGGGAAAACGGTCTCAGAGGTAATCTCAGCAATTCAGGTGAGAGGCCCAAGGGAGTCTCTGTGACTGAACCCATCACAGAACGGCACCAGCGTATACAGCTCTGTAAATATGGCCCCTGCCTAAGGACACTGCAGCGTGTGCTGGGTATGTGGGAGCCAACCCGCTCTTACCTGCTGTCATGGGCA